ATATACATGGATGCATTTCATTCCTTCCATCCCGAGTTTATAGTCATAAACAGATTAATTATTTAACCAGTCCGGTGAGTTGTTTAAAAAGCCAGTTTATAAAAGCTGATAAAAAAATAACTCCCCAAGTTCCAAGGCTCAAGGCATTTGGGTCAAAATCAAGTTCTTCTCTTAACAGAACTGAGTTTTCCTTCCCTTTTGACTCATCATCATAAAATGTGAAAACCAAATGCTCCTGACACGGTCACATCTGTGCACTGAGGTACGACCACATGCAGAATTAAGACTAAGCTGCGGAGATGGCAAAGTCCTTGACAGATGGCGCATGAGCCTCCTCCAAAGGTCCCTTGAACGAACTATGTTGGAGGGGTTGGCCCCTTCAGCCACTGTCCACATTTCTTGGGGGCTGTAACTGCCTCTGAATTAAGAGTCAAACTCTATCCACAACTGAAGAAGCAGGAGGCCAATGTAAGCTGCGTTGAAAAGAACAGTCCTTTCCACTTAAGAGCTGAAATAAATGAAGAAAAACCCTGCTTGTAATCAGTGGCTTCCTTTTAATTAACTGGGCCAATTTAGCCTAGGAACTTGAATTTTAAATTGTCATTATCTCTTAGAGAAACTTTCAACAGAAATTCTTGGCTGGCCCTTTTGGCCCTAAGAACTATCCCAACCCCTTCTCACTGTTCTCTCTTCTCCTCCAGAAACACGAACGCACTTGCTGCTTTACAACCTTCTCTGGAAATCTGAAAGTGGTTGATTTGATTTCGCTTACGATTCCAACATTTGCAAACCGTCCACCTTTGATAAATTATAGAAATAAAGGCTCACTGTGAATCTAAAACTAGAAATGAAAGTTTCTCCGAACTCGTCTCCGAGCCAATTTGTAGAAGGAAACAACAGCCTGGTCCAGTTCCACTGGCAGCAGGCAACCCAGGGAATCCCCCAGCTTGCACTGGTGCAGCTCACGGAAAGACCGAGGTGGCTAACCACCTGGGACCCAGTTAGACTGCTGGGAACTTGGGCCCTGAGAGTTTGTTTCTTCAGGAGTGACCTCAGCACCCAGCATTTATCATCCTTTCTGGCTGGGATGGGAAGTGAGCCAGCCATTTCGGACAGGCCATGAGTCATGGGGTTCAAAAAAGAATAAATTCCGATTGTTACATATTTTTATAAATGTTTAGAAAGCAATGGAACAGCTGCTGCTGTCAGTCACCCACACAGAAAACTCACACACGCACACACACTCCCCTGTGCGGGTGGGGGCTCTGCCACCACACACGGTGCTGCGCCGGCACTGACCCTTCTGGCTGTAAGAACCCGGCTCCCCGGAGGAAAAGACAACAGCAGGAGGAAGCAGGTGCAGTAGGTGACGTCTAAGATGGCCCCTAAGACCCCCACTTCTTAGCACTCACTCCCTGTGATCTCCTCCCCACGAACGTGGCCTGGACCTCATGACTTGTTTCTAAGCAAGAGACCGTGGCAAAGGGGATGGGCTGTCACTCTTGTGATCAGATTACAAAAGATGGAGGCTTTCAAATCGGTAGCAGCTCTCCCCGTTGCTGGCTTTGATGGAGCAAGCAGCCTTTGATGTTAAGGTACTGAGGGCAGCCTCTAGCCAACAGCTGGTAACAACAGTGGTCCTCCAAAAGCCCTGGAGGAACTGAATTCTGCTAACAACCACGTGAGCTTGAAAACAGATCCTTTTCCGGTCAAGCTTTCAGATGAGATCCCACCCTGGTGACACCTTGACTGCAGCCTTGGGAAGACCCTGAAGTAGAAGACCCAGGAAAGCTGGGCCAGGTTCTGACCCACAGAAGACAGTGTCAGGCAGTGAGTGTGTTGTTTTAAGCTGCTAAGTTTCTGGGTGATTCGTTACGCAGCAGCAGATAACGAACGCAGCAGGCAACCCCACAACTGGGTTAGCGTCCTGATGAGGCTGTCGCCATGGCATCCTGCCCTTCTCCTTGGCACCATCACATTGATCATGAGAGTCAGTGCCTCACTTCCCTGACAAAGTGCAGCTGCTGGAGGGCAGGCACCTATGTGTCTGCCCAGCAACCAGCCCGGTGCCCAACATGTGATCAGGGAATCAGTGAACATTTTCATTGATGAACTCTCTGTTAAGTGAGGACCGGGAAGGCAAGAACTTTCAGTTCCTAGTATAAATAGAGTATTTGTTCCTTAAAAAGAAAGGAAACAGGACTCCTTGGGATGGCCATCTTAGGCCTGTGAGTTTTCTAAAAGGGAAACGTTGGGCTGGGGTCTGAGAGTAGAGTCGGGCAGATCCTGCTTCTGGCTCAGCTGTCAGAATCTGGGCAGCGCGACAACTCTCCCTGTAAAACACCGGCCTTTACAGTGCGCATGTCCTCAGACGTGGAAACAGAACGAAAGGGAAGCTGGCTCCTCTCTCCAAGAGAACACGGTGACTTTGCCTTTGTGCTCTCCATTCTGCCTGCTCAGAAGGCGTCTTCCCCTTGATCAACTTCTTTCTCTGTTTATTTGGCAAACTCTTACTCATCCCTCAAAACCCAGCCTGGCCTCAGCTCCTGCAGAATAGCCTTTCTGCACCCCCTACTAGGAGCTCCTTCTCTCTTCTGCACCACACCTCACCCTCCCTCCCTGCTCTGGCTGAACCATAGATCATAAGGACTGCAGCCATGCCTGTCTCGTAACTGAGACCAAGGCTGGCTCGTGATCCAAGCCCAGACACGGACGGGCTCCCACCTCTGTGTCCAGGGAGTGACAAAGGCCGTGGTTTCACTCTCTCGGCCCTCTGCAGTGGAGGAAGTATGGCCTTCCTCAGAATGGGGACCAGGGAGATGTGACAAGAAGACATTCGGTGAGCAGCAAGCACTCCTGGAAAATGTTCCAACCTCAGAAACTGCAGCTGGGGGCGGCCCAGGAGCGGGAGCAGAGCAGCTGTGAAAACACCTCGGGGGCGACGAGGGGTCATTTAGTTGCCAGGCCTCTCCTTTCAAGGCTGACAGTTATGTAATCCTGTCCACACAAGGGCACTGCTGGTGTGTGTCAACTGTTCTCAAGCCCAGGGAGACCCGCCCACTGCAGGAGCCAAGGGCCAAATGCCTGTGTTCTGAAGTGTGGGGATGAGCAGGTAGGACACAGCGAGCTGCTCGGAGGTCAGGGCTGCCTCAGAATCAGAGTGGATGATGCATTCCCAGGCTGCAGCATGTGTAGAAGGCAGAGCAGAACCACCTGTGGCATCACCATGTGCCACGTGGTGTTGCACGAGGGCTGTGGGGTGGAGACAGAGCAGGGGTCACCCAGCTCTCCTCTGACCAGATCACATTTAGAGCACAGGGGCCACCACGGGGACGCGGAGGTAAACTCAGGGAGCAGTGACCAGGGCAGGACTCTAAGGTGTGGCCTTCTGCAGGCAGCGATGCGAAATGAAAGGAACGAGATGTAAGACTGTATATGCACACAGCTGTGTGTACACACACACACACACACACTTCTTTGCATAGAGAAGCAGCCTGGAAGAAACTACACCAAAATATAAATAGCGATTATCTGTGGGAATTACAAGTGCTTTTAAACATGGTTTTTGAATGCATTTTCTAACATGTCTATTTGTTATCAATGGCAAGAATACGGGCCAGGAGCGTGTTACCCAAAGATGGACCTAGGGGCCTATCGGTGTCCTAGGGCCGCTGTAACACATCACCACCACCGTGTGGCTTATTACAGTAGGAATTTATTCTCTTGCAGCTCTGGAAAGCCAGAAGTCTGAAATCCAGGTGTCAGCAGGGGCAGTCTGTGCTGGGACTTCTGAGGGAGAGTCTGCTCGGGCCTCCCTCCCAGCTGCTGGGGCTGCCAGCCGCTCCAGGCATTCCTCAGCTTCTGGCAGCATCACTCCAACCCCTGCCTCCAGCCTCACATGCATTCTCCCTGCGTCTGTGCGTCTCTGTGTCCAGATTTCCTCTTCTCATAAGGATATCCGCCACTGGATTAGGGCCCACTCTACTCCCACCCCATCTTAACCTGAGTCCATCAACAAAGACCCTATTTCCAAACAAGGTCACATTCACATACATCTCTTGGGTGTGTGTGTGCAGAATTCAGCACATAGCAAAAGGCTGTTAACCCAAAAGAAAAGAAGGCACAGGGCCATGGCTGTGTCTCCAGTATCCGGCAGGCTCTCCCATCTGAGGATTAGATGTGGTCTACTTAGCTCTATGGAGAAGAAATGGGTTCAAAGTGGATGCTCCCAAAAGCCAGATGTGGTCTCAAAATAGGGAGAATGCTCACACAGAGCTGTCTGAGCTGGACTGGCCATGTTGGGTGGGGAACTGCCACCCAAGAGTCCTAGACCTGACTGGAGTTCTCTTCTCTCTGGTGTAGGGGTACTGGTCGGGGTGGGGTGTTGGACTAAACAATTTTAAGGTCCTGGCAGCCCTAAGATTCTGCCATCCACACAGGCACCATCAATGATTTAAGCACCGCACAGTGCTGGCCCAGCCACACTCGACAGTCTGTTCAGTCTCATGCTAGCGTGGTGTCATCCGCACTGGGCAACTCCCACTCTTCACAACAAAGCAGCTCTGTCCGATATTTTCTGCCTTTTGGTCCCTCAAGGAAAGATGGAGTTTGCACAGTCAGAGTCAACGGGATAAAGACATCGATCAAGTTAGGAGTCAAGGCATCCTAGGAGAACCCCGACACCCCTGATTCCAAGGGCCTTTCCCATGCCCAGCAGAACCCAAGGGGCAGCCCCATTCCCCAGGTCAGACCCGCCAGGGGTGAAGGCCCTTGGACCAGGGTCAGAATGGCTAAGAAAACCATCCACAGTTTGTTTAGACACAGTGAAGACTCCCCTAAGAATAACGTTTACATAAGAAATAGCAGTAACATCGCAAGTTGAGCTTGTTTATTTAAAAAAAAAAAAAAGCAGCAAAATTTTGTTTGTGATGAGAAGGAAGACTGTTCTTCAAAACAGCCTTTTCTTTTCACCCCCAAAATGAAACATCTACACTGCTCACCTCTCCACGGGGTCCCTGAGCATGACGATCAGTTTCGCATCTGGCTGAAAGGCGTGGATAAAGTCCTGGGTCAGAAAGGGGGGCTCGCCATCCGTGCTGTTGTCATAGAAGAACATCCAGGCGTTGTTATCCCACATGGTGGAGGCGCTGGCCTCCCCTGGAAGGAGAGAATACTGCGAGTGAGCGAGGCTGAGTCAGAGGCTCCTGCAGAGCAGCCTGATTTAGGGGCTAAACCTGGCTGTGAGCAGGTGAGTGGGTCGTCATGCTGCCAGGCGGGACCCCAGGAAGGGGAGGCTGACGACCACCTCCTGCCGCAGTGACACCCGCAGCTCCAAGGACCTCCATCTAGAAATCCAGGTGATCCAGGTAACACAGAGCATCTCTACCTCCCAGCTCTTCTCATCAGATGCAAAAAACTCTCTACTAGCATCTGGCCTTCCAATTTCATGATGTTTAACTTTGCTCACGGTGCACAGCTCTGTGGCATTTTAAGGGCCCACTGAGAATGTACTAGATGGTTCCCTTCAAAAAGCGTCAGGGATGAAGGAGCACTTCGGGGAAGCTGATCCTCATGAGGAAATGGCATGCCACCTGCGTCAATCTTTCCTCGAAATCTCAAGGGTCAGTCCCAGTGCACACTCTAAGACCAAATATGAGGAAGGCTTTGAGGGAAGGCTCACAGGACCTCAGGCCTGTGTCCCCATCCACCCAGTTGCCCTGCACACAGCTGGCATTCCCTCAGGGCTGACTGGGTGAACAGGAAGTTGGTTCTAGCCCCTGTTTTATCGTGGTCTGTACAAATGAAGCATGATAGTGTTAAATATATATTTTAGGACAGCGGTGAGGCCAAGACACAGACATTTCAACATTTCTATCCCAGATAACTGAACCAATTCCTGACTTTTTTTTTTAAGGACAGACTTCAGAGATTAGTAAGAAAGGCAAATCAAACAATTAATTATATATTCGATTTCCAGACATTTTACAGGGGACTACATGATACATCTCAAAGTCACTTGCTGGGGGAAAATCTGAGCCCAAAGACTAAGTTTCTTTGATCAGTGACGAGCACGTCACAGTACTGCAGAGAGCTAGCAGGGCCCTATTTATTCTGCTGGATGTGCAATCATGTCCAGATGAGCATTTCTATTCTGATCTTTTTATTTTTTTTAAGAGATAATACCATAGCATACAGCAGGGGGAAAAAACAAGCCAATTAGAAGTCCTTTGAAAATTCTACTCACAATGAATAAGAAAATATTAGGACAAGGGAAGTATCTAAAATCAAGTTGGCACAAACTCTGTCAAATGTCATAAATGAACTGGTTCTACACTTGTCCATCCAACTGTCCATTCATCCATCCTCTATTCATCCTTCATCCATCCAGACAGAGAGCACTTATTTGGTGTCTAATATGTGCCTGGCACTGTGTTTGGCACTGGGGATAGACGTGAGAAACAAGACAGATAATCTTCTCCCCTCTCAAACCTTACAATCTCAGGGAAGACCAATAATTCAATAAACAATCCGAGCCCCACGTGAGCACTTTGACAGGGCAGAGCAGGGGCCCATGACAGCAGAGGCAGGAGCCTTTCAACGTGTATAGATGCCCAGCCAAGAGTACCCAGCCACTTGAGTCCTTCATGACTCCAGCCATTAGCCCCAACCACTGAGAAAAGGCCCTCTCTAACTCACTGGCCAAGATGAAGAAAGACCCGTATGCTTCTACCAAGGATCTAACCAGAAGTAGATGAAACTGGGTTGAATCACATTTCAGGGCTGGGAGGAGCCTAGAACTGATCTGGTCCAACAAGCCCATTTTACAGATGAGCAGACTGAGTTCAGGAACACAAAGATGGACTTGCCACATGGCACAGAGCTGGCTGGTGGTACGGTCAAGGGCTAGATGCCAGCTCTCCATTTGCCTCCCCACTACCACAAAACTCGCTGAATTCTGCTTCAGATAAACATCAGAGCAGTAAATTTATTCTTTATTTTCCATTTCTAAATCTAGAAGTAAATAAAATTAGGAAACCAAAACTAAACCTTCCCTTTTCCCTTTATTACTTTAGGCTCTATTTCGTGACCCTAGGATGAATATTTTTAGCTCTTTCATAAGAACATGAGATATTCCCAGAGGCATACAGTACGTGTGTCACAGACAAATACTAATCAGACTTGTAATCTGAGGTGTTTGAACTCCAGACTGCAAGGAAATAGCTAGTAGCCAATTCACACTGGGTGGGAGGGTATGATCTCATCTGGCTCCTGGGACTAGATTTCTTTGAGTTTAAAAATCAATCAATCAATCAATCAATCAATCAGGGCTTAGTCATGTAAGCCTGTCTCCCTGGACACGGGAGTCATAAGTAAAAAGACATCATTCAAATAGTTGATTACAATTCCTCTTAGTCACTAACAGAGTCACTGAATTTGGAGAATCAAAATATAATAGATTTAGGAGAATAAAAAAATAGATCGCTGCCTCAGGTAACCAATTTAAGCAAAATATGTGATTTGATTTCTCTCTTTCAGATGTATAAGTGAATAACTGTCTTCTCAGCTGAATTCAGTAAAGAGAGTGAATAGGTATGTTTTTGATAAAACATCTTGTGAACTTAAAAAAATGATTATTAATCAAACCACCTCATTTTGAATATCTACAGGCATTAAGCTGACAAGGACTAAGCTTTTTCAACAGTAATTAGTCACCCACAATGCACTAGAGCTGCATCTATTTCAGGAGAGGCTGCCTCCATCTTCAGGGTCCCAGTGGCCAGGGAGTACAAAAGCCACAAGAATTAAACTGATGACTAACAGGTTAATTTTGCGTTCATGATGCCCCATCCAAACTTACTCAGGTGGGTGTATCATGAAAAGAGATCAAGCATGCAAGCGTAATTTACATAAAAGCAAAGAAATGGTAACTTTTTTTAAAAAGCCATTTTCAGGTACACTTAAATCTCCATGGAACTAGAAAGTCCACTAAAGGTTTCTGCTTTATAGAAGTTGCACAAGCAATGTGAACATTTTACAGGGGCAAGAGTGACAGCCAGCAAGGAAATGCACACTCAGCAGCTGTGGTCAGCCACCACATAAATGTTCGCAGTGCAGTGAAGCTGGGCCTGGCCCAGGGCAGGAGCGGGGCCCTCGAGGGAGCTACACAGAAGCCATACCGATAATGATTCTATTTATCTTGCTCTGCTCCTTTGTAGAGCTGGCCTGCAGTCCTTGATGAATCTGGTGTGCAGCCAGGTCAAAGAGGTCCAGATAATCTTCCACAGGATAGCGGTCCCGCAGCCCATCTCTTAGGCGGACGATCCCTACAGGAACCAAGAAGCAAAGGTTACTGAGGACAAAGCTGCCACTGCCGGGCTGCTGGCCTCTGGGGAGTAACCACTGAGGGATGGAAAGGTCCAAGGGCCTGGATGCAGCAGCCAAGGCTTGGCCCAATGAGTTGCAAGAGAGGGAAGGGTGTCTGTGAACTGGACGCCCTCTCTTAACCCATGTGCACTTCAAAGGGGTAGAACGCACCACCATTAAGCTGCACAGTAGCAGCGTAAAGGATGGCATACCTTTTCAAGAACTATAAACCTGTCTGCTGGGAGGGCCAGAAAGTTCGGAGCTGGTTAACATGTACATCAGGCGAGGCCCTCAAGAGACTGGGCAGCAACGCCATCAGTATACACATCCTGGATCAAAAGAAAAAGCAGCCCATCAGAGGGACAGTATCCTCTGAACCTCAGATGCATCTTCTTCCTCAGGGCACACAAGCACCTTCCTGTGGTTCTACTGGATCAAGCAGCCTGTCCATCTGTCCAAACATGGGGAATTGATGGTCCCTAGACCGATACCTGGGCTACTCTGGCATCAGCCACATGCAGCCTAAATTTGCCCCTTGCCTTAGAACTGGGTAAGTTTCACTTGATAACGTATTGAAAACACACCTCCCAAACCACAGCCACCAAGGTCAGTAGAAAGTGGAGAGGGGCCATCCATGGGCAAAAGAGCAAGAGGTTCAAGGTGACACTGGACACCAGACTCCAGAGGCCCGCATGCCCCGTGCTTCCCTGTCCTCTGCCAGCAGGAGCCTTGTTTCCAATGGGGGAAATGGTGAACTACATAGGGGAAAGCGCCCTAAAGATGAGTACAGGAACCCTGGTACCCACAGCTGCCGCTGCCAAACCACAAAAGACACATTTACACTTCTGTTCACTCCAGGAGAAACATCAAAAGGATTAAGTCAAACGTTTGTCAGAAAACACATTGTGTTGGGTCTAAACTGATATCCTACAAAGGAAAACTCAAAATTCCCTTCCAGGGAACCTAGGTCCTTCACATGGGAAAAACCCCTAAGGCCCACCCAAACTTTGGCATTTGTCATTCCTTAGCCGCAATGACCAAATGTTTCCTGGCAGAAGGGAAAAGTTTAAGGAGAGGAAACAGTGACCCGAGGGCTGCTGGGTGGCTCGGGCTGGGCAGAATAGAAACCAGCCTACAGGAGGGATGATGGGTGATGTCCGAGAACAACCCTGTGGGAAAGGGGTGCTGTGAGCAGGGTCGCCTAGAATTATCTCCGTGTGGTTTTCACTCTGACCCCATGATGTCAACGAGGTAGGTCAGAGAAAAGAGGCCCAAAGCAGCTCAGTGACGGGCTGACCATCCTGGACTGAACTGGCCTCTCTTTCTCCTGCCTCCTGCCGGTGTGGGTGGAGGGGCTCCGGCAGGAACAGCACGGAGCTGGGAACAGCACGTCAGCCTGGCCAGCACTCACCATTCACGGATGGTGCCCGGGCCCGGGCCCTTCGGGACAAGAGCTGAGGATCCAGCACCCTTCCCGTGGCCCTGCACACAGCCGGCACTCAATCAGCTCACTGGGTGGGAGGGAGCTGGTGCCCGTCCTGTCGGTTGTCTGCCTGGCGGGCCCCAGACCAAAGAACTGTCTCATCTCCGTGTCTCGGCGTCTTTCCTCATCTCCCCGCCGTGCCCGACTCAGGGGGCTTCACAGCGCCGGTCTGGGTCAGCCTCTTGGCTCCCACCCCAACCCCGGCCCTGACCCTGACCCTGACCCAGACCCCCACCCTGACGTGGCAGAAGGAGTGACAGGACGAAGGCGGCAGGAGCCCCGCGCTCAGCGCGATGCCCCCACGCCCCGCCTGCAATGGGGACTGCGCCTGCGCTCACCGAACCGCTTCCGGGTCCACCAGTGCGGCTCCTTGATGGCGGAGAACTTCACTTCCGGGTGCAGCCGCAGGCGGTCGTAGAGGTCGGTGGTGCCGCACTTGGGCTGCCCGATGATGTAGAAGTGCGGCAGGCAGCGGAGGCGGAAGTGCTTGCCGTTGGCGTGGGACAGGTGGCCCCAGAAGGCCTTGCGCAGGGCGTCGAAGGTGGAGCGGAAGCGCTTGGAGTAGAGCACGTAGGAGTTGGTCAGGTAGGGGTCGGTGGTGTTCCTCCCCGTGAACTCCTCGTACCAACAGGGGCTCTTACTATTGGGGAGAAATTTACTGGGGATCACTGAAAACATCTGCAACAAAAAAGAAAGAAAGGGAGAGACACACTAAGGGGAAGACATTAGCAAAAACACATTTGAACCAAGTGTGATCCTGCCCTGATACTTGGTACAGCATTCACATGGAGTGTTATGCGATGATGACTAAATACTGAAATAAAGCAAAACCTGGTGAACAGCCAGTGACCATGCTTTTCCTTAACCCAGAATAAAAAATAAAATTTGGAGAAAATGAAGATAGAAGTTCAATCAAAATCTATTCTGCCATGATTTATTTTACACACATGCACGCGCGCACACACACACACACACACACACACAGAGGAATCTAAATTAAACAGTTGGAACTTTTTACTATGTAGTTGTATATTTAAATGGCCGTTACAGACAAACATAGTGATTAAGACAGACTAGAAACAGGATAACAGTAATCCTGTAAAAGCAACTTTAACTGCCATGACCACATTTCAAGCAAGAAGTCCTAGAAAGGAATTAACAGAAGGGGCGTCCCATTCAGTACAGCATTGCCCTCTTGACGTTAACAGCACTTCCAGTGAACTCTGATTCATAAGGCTGTCAAATTACCATTGTTACACTTGGGAAATTTTGGGTCATCTTCTTCCTGTGTTCCCAAAGATGGTGACAGGAAAGGAAGCAACTATATTTTAAAATCAGTCAACAGAGATGAGCACCAGGCTACTTACATGCAATTCCTGCTTCTTGAGATCTTCTACATCTGGGAGCTGTCTGGTAGTGAACTCAATCCTGGCCGTGATGCTGTTGATAATTAATTTAATGCTTGGATAGTCTTTCACTAATGAAATATTACTTATAGAGGGTTGGTGATGATGCTCTTTCATGTCACTCGGATTTTCGCCATCCATCAAGCTGGGATTGCTGGGGAAGGCTCCGTAATGGAAAGGCGATGAGAGCAGAAGCTCTTGGTGGACCCCAGAGAGGATGTACGAAGCCATCACCAACGTCATTATTATCAATCCAAAAACAAGGCTGCATCGCTTTCCCTTTTTGAAGCGCAAAAACCCACCCCAGCTCTCATTCCCTTCAGCCCTCACTTCGAGAACAGCAAGCAAGTTCATCTGCTTACCGTCCACTCGAAACACAATTCTGTTTTCTCCTTTGCATGCAGGGCACTCCTGGTGACCGTGATGGGGGCCTCCTCGACAGCCAACCTGCTGTGGGTGTGTGTCGTCGGGCGACAGCTGTATGCAGCAGTTAATGCAGTGCCTCATGGTAATGTCCTTGAACCGCTGGCCCACCGAGCCATGAGCGAGCCCCTGAGGAATCCAGACGCGTGCAAGTCGTACTGGAAAACTTCAAGGACGTCTCGTGATCACATAAGATGATCGAAAGGCACAAGCAACAGAAACAGACATAAAATGGAGCAAGCACCAAAACACCAGAGACTGAGGAAGCACGTTCTTTGGCTCAATTCCAAAAGACAACACGAATGATCTCCAGTTGTCATGTTCTGTAAGAGCTACTGCAATCCTGAAAAAAGCCACAAGGTTGGGAGCAATTCTTCCTGTCCTTCAGGTTTTTCCCATGGCACAAAATGAAGTGGAAGAATTCTCACTGGAAAACATAGAAACACCCACAGGATTAGAAGAGTTCATGGCCGATGCAATGGGAGATGGATTGACGTGCCATCCATGCAGAGTCCCTGAAGATTTCTTCTCTTACATCCTGTGTTCCTTTGAAATGTTTCCTCTTCATGGGGAACAAAATCTTTAAGACATCAGATTACCTAAACAACAAAGAAAAGAGGTTTTATTACATTATGTGATTGAGACAGGAGGGCAGGGGGCAGGGCACAACCACTGGAGGAACGGCACAGCAGTTGAGGACAGGACAAACTGGTTAGAACCAAGATGGCGGAAGATTCGACTTCTAGAAGAGCTTGAGCCTCAGGGCACACCCACAGGTGCCATGACAGTTCCCAGACTGACAATAAAAGGTCAAAAAGTGGACCGGGGGTGGGGGGTGGGGGCGCCGAGTTCCTAGAAATCCTTGCCCCTTCCCCAACATAGTTAGAATAATCCTCCTACTCGTTAGCATATGAAATTACCAAGCCCATAAAAACTAACAACCCTGCACCTCGTGGTCACTCTCCCTCTTGCCTTCTGAGAGGGCCAGCACTCTGTCTGTAGAGTGTGTATCTACTTTTACTTTAAACTCAACACCCCCACACCTCTTGGCCTCTCTCTCGCCTTTGGAGATGGCCCACAATCTGCCCATGGAACACGTATCTCCAAAGCCACTCTCCCTTCTGAGTGAGATGGACTACACTCCGTCTATGGGGTGTGTATCTCTCTAAATAAACTTGCTTTCACTTTACTATGCCTCGTTCTTGAATTCTTTCCTGTGCAAGGCAAGAACCTACTCTCCAGAGACGTGATGACAGCACTAACCCTGGGGTCATCTTCCAAGGAGAGAAGTTCACAGTTCTTTTCCACTTCTAGGTTTCAGACAAACCTACTGGGTCCAAGCAAGTTACAGAAAGTCATACAGGATAAAGGGAGAGGGTTCAGGTCCTTGGTACTTAGCTTTGGAGTTCAGTCTCTGCCACTGAATGCGGCCCCAATGCCAGCACCCCATCAGCACTGTGGCAAACACTTCTTATTTTGCACAATCTACGTATTCTCTGATACCTCCATCTTGACTGGATCCCCCAGTCCTAGGACTTGCTGTCATTCTCAGATTCATGCACGGTCAGTAACTATGAATTGAGGAATGAATTGAAATATGGGTGCTTTTACGTCAACAAAAAAATCCAAGGAGGAGGATAGTTAGGATGGGAGCAGGCAGAGAAAAAATTTCTTTCTTTTCCAGTAGCACCTGTAGTCTCTTAACCTAGAGCTAACGTTCATTATCAGTTTAGGATGCAAAAAATGAAAGTTTAGAAACACTGAAATGATTCTCTCCTTCAGTAGAATGTATCGTGTGAAAAAAAATTTGACTTTAAGTTATTAAGCAATTAAATCCAACATGCAGTATTCCCCTGAGTAACGGAACACTTCAGACCCCGAAATAATTTTTTACTTTCATCATCCTCGGAAAAACACGATTCTTAAAAATCCATTAATAGAATCCTGCAGTTATAAAATACATTGTTGCCCAAATGACACTTCTTTGTAGATGTTGTAAAAAGCAGCAAAAAAAAAAAAAAAAAAAAGAGGACACCTGCTTAGTTGCTTAGTTTCCATCAGTGGTAGACCACTGCTGACTCACTGGCTGTGTGACCTTGAACAAGCCATATAACCTCTCTGAGCTCTGGCTTCCTCACCAGTAAAATTAGGATAAGAGTACCCCTCTTCTAAGTGTGTAACAAGAACTAAATTAGTTAATGCATGTGAAGAGTTTGCATAAAGCCTGCACATATTTAGCATCCCATGAAAGATGGATGATATGAATAACGATAGCATTATCAGTGACAATTAGTATTACGTTTTTTAGTTGTCAGTGAATGCCAAGAACACCTGATGCAGAATCAAAAATGGGAGATTCCCATCACGTTATTTTTCCTTAGCACCCGAGAATTATCCAAGGGTGGCAGACTCACTTCTGACTGTACACACACCCACCGAACAATCCTTACTGACCCCAGAAAAAGTGGTATTAAGTAACCCTGCATAAAGCCCGCTCGTATTGGCTGAAGGGCTGAACGATCAGAACTCACCAGCAGAAATACCCCCTTTCCTTTGACCGAAAGGCCCATGTTTTATCAAAACACGATGACCAAGAAATAGCCAAGCAGTTTCCCAAAATGTCTTCCACAAAATATTCTGCATGTTATGGATAGGTGTTTAGCGCTTAAGTTATCTGGAGAAAAGGTGAGGTTGACAAAATTACGCAGACTTCTTTATAGCAGGACTCTTCAGGGACTTTAACATGCTAATAAGTCCTGTGAATCCACAGGAGAGGAATATATAATCTACACACTGTCCAAAACATATTTGGCCACGGGATTCTCACTGCTGTCTCAGGGAAGCAGTCTGAGGAATGCTAGTCGGTAAAGAGTGTGATCCGGGCCAGAGCAGTTCTGAGAAGAGCAGAGGAGTGGGAGCCGTGGGAGCAAACCACTCCAGAGCCAGACCAACATCTCAGGCTCCCCACCCCCACCCCCATCCCTGAGAGCAGCTGGAGGGACGTGTCGGGAACCTCAAGGCTCAAGTCCCTGCCTCCAACTTGCTCAACCACCCCTGACCCATCACTTGGTACAAACAATTCTCCCAAACCAAAGAAACAAAAGGGCAAGCTCCCCTACTTGGAAGCCCCATCACTAAGCCAAGAACACATTTTTTACATGTCGAAGACAAGGTCAAGTGGGGTTACAATGAGACTCCAACCAGGATCACCATGGGAAGCGAATTCACACCCTCCTTTTCTCCGGCTGCAGGAAGCTTAATTAGATTTTTTTTTCCAAACATGGTCTTTGAAGCTCCAAGACAAGAATGTGCAGAATGGGCAAAACATTCCTCAACACGAACAAAAGTTTCCGATTACAAGCAAAGTAATTAAGTAGACATGGGTAGTCAGGGAAGCTGACGGTCTCAGCAGAGAGGCCCCAGGACATGGCCAGTCAGAACATTTGTCCCCTGGGCAGGCTGCACCCTCCAGCCGGAGCTTCCACTCCACGGCTCACTTCTTAAACATAAAATGAGCTGCAGAGAACTGGGAAAACAATTCCGGATGCCTTAAGAGCCTTAAAAAAAAAAAAAAAAAAACCACACTCAGATACAGTGTTATCTCCTATAACCATTCATTCATTCATTGCTTCCTTGTTTCACTCACCAGATCCCTTCTGAAGGCAGACTGTGTACTGGGCCCCACAGAAGATACAAGTCCAGGTGTGGGGGCCTGAAACCAATACCTGATGGGGGGGTGTGATGTAATGAAAAAGAAACATTTGATCTTTGCCCCCAGTTCCCGGCACAGAGCTAAAACCTTTGGAATTTCCTGAGTGGCAGGGGTGATAGGGTCCACAATGTTTCATTATTCATAACAAGCCCCTTTCAACCACACCTCAGTTTATGCCAGTGAGGTGACATCCCAGACAGCTTCAGGATGGGGCTGGTAGCCAGAAAGCCCCAGCCTGATTAGAAGCTTGAAACTTGCAGTGCTGACTCCCCAAGCCTCCAGGGAGGGGAAGGGACTGGAGACAGTTCATCACGAATGGCCAATGATTTAATCAATTTTGCCTACGTAATGCCTCCCTAAAAACCCCGTAAGGACAGGATTCACAGAGCTTTCTAGTTGGTGAGCCCGTGGGGGTGATGGGAGGGCTGTGCGCCCAGAGGGAGCATGGAAGGTCCACAACCCTCCTCCCCATTCTTGCCCCACGCATCTCTCCCATCTGCCTGTTCTTGGAGCCTTTATAATAAGTGGGTAATAGTAAGGCACTTTCCTGAGTTCTGTGCATCATTCTAGCAAATTATGGAACCTGAGGAGGGGGCTGTGGGAACTTCTGAATTTGCAGGCAGTTAGGACAGATGTGTGGACAGCCTGGAGACCCAAGCCTTGTGGCTGGTGCCTGAAGCGGGGTAAGTCTCAGAGGACTGAGCCCTTAACCTGAGAAATCTGTGCTAATTCCAGGGAGTTACTGTAAGAATTCAGCTGAATTCCAGGATGCCCAGCTGGTGTCTGGGGAGTTGAAGATTTTATCGGTGTGGGAAAACTCCCTATGGGGCTCTCTTTGAAAAAAAAATGTGAAACTATCTTACATTTACAGATTTTACCAAAACATACGACCAGTGCATAGTATGTAAAGTACGTGATTAAAAGTAACAGCCGTATGACCAGGTGAGCACATGGCTGTGAGCCCTTCTAAGTGCAGGGCCTGGAGCTTCGAGGCTTCTAGACCAATCCTGTCTACAGGGACGGCAGTGTGCGGGAGTGGCCGGGGCAGGGAGGCCTTTTCCCCACTTGGAGCTTGTGTTCAACCAGGAGTTGGGGACTGCAGGGCAACAGACAATAAAAAAAAATCACAAATGAATAGCATCATTTCGGACACTGATAAAGTCTAGGAAGACAATAAAAAGGGAGAATCCAGTGAAACCATTAGAACAGGGGCTCTCAATGCCACACCAGGGCCAGAGAGTTCTTTGTCGTCAGGGACCATTCTGTGCACTGTAGGAGGATGTTCAGCAGCATCCCTGGCCTCCATCCCCAGAGAGAACTGCCGCCTTAGAGGAAGGGAAGGTAGAGAGGGTGGCCAGGGAAGACCTGATTTAGGAGGGGACATCTGAATGATGCAAAGGAAGCCGGCCATGTGGGGGTCAGGGAAGTAAAGGCCTTGTGAAGCTGGAGATCAAAGCCCATGGGACCAGCAGGAGGGCAGACCCCTGGGCTGTGAGGCAGGTGCGGGGCGGGAAGCAGGTGGGAGGAAAGGCATGGACCGGACTCTGGAAAGCCGGGAGGGCCAGGTCAGGACTGGGATTTGTCCAAGGGCAAAGAGGGAGGCACACTATGTATTCATTCAAAAGCATCTTTAAAATACTTACAACTCTTAACTAACATAACTCGGGGAAGAATACTCAAATTCATGTGACTGGATTGAAAGGAAAATGCATTGCTGCTTTGTTCCTGGACTGGCTTTTTCCATCTGCCACAAATTACCCCAAGAACAGTCATTCGGAAACCTAACACCCCACGTTGTTCTTTCTCAAGAAATAAGCAATGCCTATCCCCTGCACTTCATCTGTCTGGAATGTCCACATATTGGTGCCAGTGGACTCAGATTAGGCA